TGAGGGAGGGGGGAAAGGCAGGGGGGGGGGGCAAGCGAAGGCAAGCGAAGGGCGGCAGAACGGGCTCGCAGACAGTACTCGAACCCTTCTCACTGCCCAGGAGCTGTCGCACAAGAGGCTCAGGCTCAGGCTCAGATTGAGGTGCAGGGATGCGCAGCAGCGGCACGCCAGAACCAACGAGGGACGGACGGGCACGAACGAGGTCGGTCGGTTGGTCAACTCTACATCGGTCACTGCAGCCGCGTGAACGCACAACACAGCCTGGGTCGGATGGTGGCTACAGCGGCCAGAGAGGGGGCGAGGGGGGGCAAGGGGCGCTCGCCACGCCTGCAAACGCAGCCAAGACGGCCGAGCAGACCCGGGGGCCACAGGCGAGGCGAGGCGAGGCGAAAGTGCTGGAAACTGCAGCGGAGCCCAAGCGAGATGAGCAGGGCCGGGCCCAGGTATTGCGATCGCGCAACTGCGCCAAGTGGAATTCCAATTCAATTCCAGTCGCGACACACACAGGCGCAGGCGCCGGCCGGCACCCGCGAGCCGTGCCCAAAACACGCCGCCTGCCCAGAAGGAGCGCAGGAGCGAGGGAGGGTCCAAGGCGGCCCGCTGTCGATCCTGACTGGCCCTCGTCCGATGCTCGATCTTCCCTCTTTCTTGGTGTGCCGCTTTGGTGGTGATCGCGAAACTTCGGCGGCAAACTGTCGATGCCCGGTGTAGCTATCTTTGGCTTCGCCCCGGCCACGCCTCCGCCCTTCCCTGTCCCTTGTCCCTTGCTGCGCCCTGCCTACACGAACCGCTCTCCGTCTCGGAAGTCGACGCCGCATCAATACGCACTTTCACTTGAAAAAAAAAACGGCCAGACGCATCTGCCTAGTCAAGTGCGGGTTTCACTGCGAGCATTGATGAGCAAGCGTGGTTCGTGTCCAGGCTAGCGGAAAAGAACATCCGGCTGCCGACCAGATGGACGGGGCAGGTTCTTTTTTTTCCATTTCCTACTGTAGAGACAGCTTGATTGCATTGTGCCGGACCGAAATCCAACGACTTGTTCGCAGTCGCTCACTGATCTCTCCAGAGTCTGATGCGTGGGTTGAGCCTAGAGTCAGGGAGGTGGGGCCCAAGCCTCCGACAAACGGCGCTGCAAGCCAGAGACGGAGCAACACATGCACAGGGTGCAGCCCCGCCGCTCCGGTCAGACGCGCGCAGTCGCCATATCTCGGCCCACAGCTTTGTGTCACACTTTGCACAGCGACTTGTCGCGATATCGACCCGCTTTGGTGCTAGCCGCAAGGTGGACTGTACCCCTGAGAGGCTAATTGGGCCAAGTCTCCTTTCCGCTGTGCCCAACCTCGGACTTCCTGTGCTGGCGGGATTGGCCAAGACGAGCGACAAGCCATCCAGGGCTTGGCAGAGGCAAGTTCCAAGGACAAAGGACAAAGGACCTCCTGAAAATGTCACGCGAGCCACTGTGCTCTGCTGATTGGAAACGTGCATCACGGCTTGCAACCTTATCGTTGGCCATGACAAGGCTGCAACTCATGGATCCGCTGTGGCCGAAGAGCGCGTTGGAAGAGGCATGCAGATTCGGGCCTCGCCTTCGCCGCGAGGAGCAGAGCATTGTGCACCGAGATGCAGGCGCTTGCACCACTCGAGCATGTCCGAAGATTCTTCGCATGGCCAATTGGCCTGTGGCTTGCCGTGTTTTGGTCTTCGATTTTTCTTTCGGCACGCTGCCCGCCCCGCCCCCCTGAGTGCATCCGTCCCAATTCTCCGCTGACGCCGCCTCGAGCAAGCCATCCAGGATCCGGACAAGCCGCATACACCTCGGCAGCATCCCGACTTGGGTCGTCCACATGCACTTTGCAAGTCTGTCGTCATGCACGGCATCCACCCGTTCCAGACGCTTTGCCCACATCGCAATCGAGCTGTCCGGAACCCGATTCCGTTGGGCCGCGTCAGTCGGATCTGGGAAGCCAAATTGGTATCATATAAGCATGACTAATAAGAGTCAGACTCCACCTGAACTTGCTCGCATGAGCTGCAGCGCTGCTGGACCCTGAATATAAGAAAGTGCGGAAACGCACATGCAACGCCTTCGTCCCGTTCCTTTCCACCCGCGCTCTCGCCCGTACCTCTTCGTCTGCGCCAACCGTGCTGCAGTCGCCTTGCACTCTGTCTTACAGCATCGACACCCATTAAGGTGTCTTCGTACCACTCCGTCCGCCACACCTCCTCTTCCTCAAACGGCCGGCTTCTCGAGCCTCTCGGAATTGTCGAGGTGACCTGTGCCGAGATGAAAAGGTCCACGAGCAGCGAGAATGGTTCGTAACGGACTGCTGAGCTCAGCCGCCAGCTGGACAGAGCTTCAGCACAACGATAGCGATGACGACTTTCTGGATGACCAGTACCAGCATGCAATCCCCTCTACGACCCGGAAACGACGTCGAATCCAGCCGGAGCGGTCCAACGCAGCCCCGCCCAAGGCGACCCTTCGCGCCTTGCTCGGCCTGACCAAAGCCGATGACTACATCGAGACCGCAAATCCGCCTTTCGATGCAGAACCGTCAGAAAAGGATGTTCTCGACCGCGGGGTCACTCACACAGCCAATCTCAATGCGCTCGACCAGTCTCGCAGCTCGGCTTCGGACTCGGATTCGTCGTCCTCAGATGAGGAGGAAGTAATTCTGCCAATCAAGCGAATCGTCCGCAATTTTCCCAGTTTCGTCTCTCGACAGGATGCTCCGGCGGGCACCGTGATCGCACCACCGGAAAAATTCCCGCACGTTGGGGAAACGCTACTTTCCGAACCGGAAGAGGACGAAGAGCAGGCACTAAGCATCAGTACGGGAGGTTCTGCGTCGCTTCCACATTATCCTGTGGGCAAGTCAGACCCTGTGGGTGACGAAAGCGAGAGCAGCCAAAGTGACGATGAAGTGGCTTTGGCCGTCAAGCCCAAAGCGCTGGCAAACCAGAAATCAGCGTCAAAAGCATCCGCGACACACGGCTCGATCGCACCTGCCGCCTTCTTGGAAGGTCAAAAGCCTTCTTTCCCTGTCCCCAAGGAGCTCAGAGACGTCGGTCCTCTGGTGCTGGGCCCAGGCATCCAGGTTCCCGCAGCCATCAATCGCTTCCTCCGCAGCTATCAGCGAGACGGCGTCCGCTTCCTCTACAGATCCTACGCTCAAAATAGAGGGGCGCTTCTGGGTGATGACATGGGCCTTGGCAAGACCATCCAGGTGATCGCCTTCCTCTCAGCCATCATGCTGAAGACCGGCGGAGAGAACGACGAGAACCGCCGCATCGAGGCAGTACGCAGCGACCGACAACGCGCCGGCTACCACTGTGCGAATGCCGTCTGGCCGACCTGCTTGATCATCTGCCCGAGCTCCGTCATTGACAACTGGCGACACGAGCTTGACACGTGGGGCTACTTCGAGCATGCCGCATTCAGCGGAGTGCGAGCCAAGGAAGGAGCTCTCGAATCCTTTCGCCGAGGTCGACTGGACATCCTTGTCACGAGCCACGAGACGGCATCTCTGTCGATCGAGCAACTGCGCGATCTTGACTTTTCGTGTGTTCTGATCGACGAAGCGCACAAGCTCAAGAACCCAGCCTCGCAGATGACGCAGGCCATGCAAACCTTCCTATGCAAGGTGCGCTTCGCCTTGACGGGAACGGCCATCCAAAACAGCTACCGTGAGCTTTACACTCTTGCGGATTGGACCAACCCTGGGCTGCTCGGTACCGTCAAGGAGTGGATCACCGAGATCGAAGACCCGCTCAAGCACGGTCAGAAGCGCGGCGCGGATCCCGAACGCATCGCAGACGCCAGAACGCGCGCCGAGAAGCTGGTACAGAACGTCTTGCCCATCTTCTTTCTCCGACGCACCAAAGCGCTCATCGCAGACCAGCTGCCTCGCAAATTCGACAAGATCGTCTTTTGCCCGCTCACCCCAACCCAACTCGAGGTTTACCGACGGATCTTGGCGGAGCCCGAGGTCGATCTCATGAAGCATCACGCCGACCCGTGTCCGTGCGGTCGCATCGACCCAGACACAGGCCTGGCATATCGCCGTCAGAATTGCTGCTTCAAGCGCGACGGAGCGGGCGGAGCATGGAACAAGAACATGCTCAAGTACGTCTACCTCTTGCAAAAGTGCTCGAACCACGTCGCTTTGGTGTTCCCGGATCCAGAGGACCTCAGCTCACACGATCCGGACCGCATGGACAGGTACGAGCGTCAACTCTCCTACGTTCAGCTCATGTTCCCGGACAGCTGGCAACTCAAGCGGTGCAATGCGACGAACGGCATGGACCCCGAGCTGTGCGGCAAGTGGAAGGTACTCGCTCGTCTACTGCAGCAGTGGCACGCGGATGGCGACAAGGTGCTACTCTTCTCAACCAATCTGCGGCTGCTCCAGTTCATCGAGTTCTTCTTGGCGCGAGAGGGGCACAGCTTTGTGCGACTTGACGGCTCGACGCCTCAGCCCCGTCGACAGCAGTTAGTGGACCAGTTCAATCGAGATGGCAGCATCTTTGTCTTTCTCATCTCGACCACCGCCGGTGGCACCGGTCTCAACCTCACCGCCGCGAACCGCGTTGTGGTGTTCGACCCGCACTGGAACCCGTCGCACGACTTGCAGGCGATGGACCGTGCGTATCGATTCGGGCAGACGAGGGACGTCTTCGTGTACCGTCTGATCGGAGCAGGCTCGCTAGAAGAGGTGGTGTACGGGCGGCAGCTGTACAAGCAGCAACAGATGGAGATCGGGTACAATGCCACCAAGGAGCGCCGCTACTTCGAGGGCGTCGCGGGCGATCAAGGCAGCCTGGGCGAGCTGTTCGGATGCAAGAATCTGTTCACGCTGCACGAGAGCAGTCTGGCGATGAAGTCGATCATCGACGAGTGCAACATCTCTGAAGTCACCTATGCTCTGGCGCAGTATCTCAAGACAGGTTCACTCGATGATCAAGTCAGTGCCGACGCCGCTCTGGTCGAGCGCGCACACAGCCCCAAGTCGAGCCCGCCCGAGTCGGCGCAGAGGCAGGAACCTGGCGGAGCGACGATGGCGCTGCCGACCGCAACCGACACGGACCCGATCCGAGGCATCCTCGAAGGAAGCGGGATCAGCTACAGCCACGATCATGCGGCGCTGGTGGGCAACAGCGTCGCCGAGGCTGCGCTCTACCGAGAGGGCAAAGTGCGCAAGACTCGCCAAGCAAGCGCGGTCAGCAAGAGCAAGCGTGCTACCGGCTCTAGGGCTGGTGAAGCCGCTCTCACCTCGACCAGCGTGTGGCCGCCGGTTCGCTCAGCACCTGCATCCGGCAGTGGAGCAGCAAGATCACAGGAAGAGTCACAATCCATCGCGGCGGCTGCTGCCGAGCGGGGACTGCTGCAAGCATCGCAAGGTGGTGGCGCGAGCCGGCTGCCCGATCTGTCCGATCTGGCGAGGCTGCAGAACGTGAGCGAGGTCGAGATGGCTGCGGCAGTCAACGCCATGTCGGCAACGGAGCAGAAGTCCTTCTTCGACACGGCGCTGCAGAGGTGGAATCGGAAACAGGACGCTCTGGCAAAAGGCAGCCGCAGGCAGATGCAGCAGCGCCAGTTCTAGAAATTCCAACCACCAATTTAATTTCCTGCCTTTTCCTTTCTCTTCCCCATGCGCTCGCTCTGTCTGTGTCCGAAGCTGCGCGCTGCAGCCAACGTTGACGTCATGACAGCTGCAGGCCGTTTTCTCCTCTGTCCATGCGGACTGTCATGCTTGAGCACGACTCCTTGATCGCACGCGTCTGACATGCGTACGGTGCTCATCATACAGATCCACAGAATGCTGTGGGATCGGTTCTACCAGTGAGAGGCATGCGGATGGCTGGGCTGAGAGCGCCTGGTCGCGGAAGGCGGATGGAAAGCACTGGAAACCATCTGGTCGAGGGGGGTCCGGGATCAGCTTACGAACGGTCGCATCAAGCCGGGGCCAGGCGGTAGTCAGCGTAGACGAGTGGCATGCTCGTAAGCCATGGAACGCGGCTGGACTCGATTTTTGAGTCGCTCTGGGCTCTTGCCCGTTATTTTACCCGCCGATTCGGGCCACAGGATCGTACAGACCCTCGTCTCGGTTGCAGCGCGCTGCCTCCACACCTCACGGGCCGCCGAAAAAAGTGACTGATGAGCTGCAGGCCCAAACGTCATTTTCCGCACCCTCGATCCGCGACATGCCGCACATGGAAGCTGACTTAGCCCGAACCAGTTCAGCCGATGCGCTATGGTTCAAGGTGCTTATGGGCCGGCTTCGGAACGGAGCTACAATCCTGCCTCTGTCGTCTTGATGCTCGCAACGAGATACCACCATCTTGGCTCTTCACCCTCCGACGTGTCTGCCGTGCATTGCTCCGTCTTGGCCTTTGTGGAGCCACTGCTCAGCGTTCAACGATGGTGGTCTCACAGCACGGCATGCACCGCTCGGGCTCGCTCAAGCGACCTGCGGTGCAGAAACCGACCGCACCCACCATCTCGATCCCACAACCGCCAGCACTCTCCGAGGGGCCGACATATCCTCCATCCGACTACTTGGCCGACGGTGCCGAGGCAGGTCCATCGCGGCCAACATCCATCCCGCGGCGTCCCGTGCTTTCTCGGCGCAGAACATCGAAGAAGGACTACGTTCATCCTTACCTATCCGGCAACTTTGCACCCGTCACCACCGAATGTCCGCTCACAGATTGCCTGTACGAAGGCACCATTCCGGAGGAATTCGCAGGTAGCCAGTACGTGCGTAACGGCGGCAATCCTTTAGCGAATTCGGAGCTGGACCGAGATGCGCACTGGTTCGACGCAGACGGCATGCTCGCTGGCGTGCTCTTTCGACGCACTCCGGATGGCTCCATCCAGCCTTGCTTCTTGAATCGCTTCATCCTCACCGACCTACTGCTCTCGACACCCGAGCACTCTCGTCTTCCCTATTTGCCGAGCATCGCTACGCTGGTCAACCCGCATGTCGGGTTGCTCTGGCTCATGCTCGAGATTCTCCGCACCTTTGTGCTCACAATCCTCACCTGGCTTCCAGGGCTCGGCCTGCGAAGCGACCAGAAGCTGCGCCGCATCAGCGTTGCCAACACCAGCGTGTTCTGGCACGACGGCAAGGCGATGGCAGGCTGCGAGAGCGGGCCACCCATGCGTATCATGCTTCCTGGCCTCGAGACTGCCGGCTGGTACACGGGCGAGGACGAAGGGCCCAGCACCGACGGCAAGGCAGCGGACAAGAAGCGCGGGAAAGCATCCAAGGGATTTGGAGGCGGACCGCCGATCGTGAGCATGCTGCGCGAATTTACCACTGCGCATCCCAAGGTCGACCCGCACACGCAGGAGCTGCTGCTGTACCACATGTGCTTCGAGCCGCCGTACCTGCGCGTCAGCGTGATTGCACCCGCCGAGGTCGTCGCAAAGAAGATGCCGTCGCAGGCCAAGACGATCAAAGGACAGGCGGTGCGCGGCCTCAAGCAGCCCAAGATGATGCACGACTTTGGCGCTACACCTACACACACGGTGATCATCGACGTGCCGCTCTCGCTCGATCTGATGAACCTCGTGCGCGGCCGACCCATCCTGCACTACGACCCGGCTCAGCCCATCCGCTTTGGTGTGATGCCGAGATATGCACCCGAGCAGGTGCGGTGGTTCGAGAGCGCAGAGGCTTGCTGTGTCTACCACACCGCCAACAGCTGGAACGACGACGGCAAGTTTGCTGCCTCGCGTACGGAGCTCACCGAGCTCGCCGAGGCTGGACGAGCTGGACCCACGGGGATCAACATGCTCGGATGCCGACTCAACAGCGCCACGCTGGTATATTCGGCAGGCAACTTGCTGCCGCCCTCGCACGTCTTGCCGCCGCCGAACTGTCCCGAGAAGTGCCAGCTGTACTACTGGCGCTTTGACTTGGAGGATGTGGACGCCAAGCGGATCAGTCACGAATTTGCGCTGTCCGAGGTGCCGTTCGAGTTCCCAACGATCAACGAAGAGTACGCCATGCGGGACGCACGATACGTGTACGGCACCAGCATGCGCGATGGCACCTTCGATGCCGGGCTGGGAAAAGCCGCCAAGATCGACGCGCTCGTCAAGATCGATGCGCAGACGCTCATTCGTCGAGGCAAGGCACTGTGGAGTCAAGGTCGACTGGGGCCTTGTGACAGCGTCGACACGCGTACGGTGGAGGAGATTCTTGCGGCCCAGCGTGATGGATCGGGTGCTCCGAACGATGCGATCCGGATCTTCGAGATGCCTCGTGGATGGTACGCGCAAGAGACGACGTTTGTTCCGCGCCGCTCGGGCGCAGGACCACACGAGGAAGACGATGGCTGGCTGGTATGCTACGTGTTTGACGAAGCGGCGGGCCTGCATCCATCGACGGGCGAGGTGCTGCCCGGAGCCACGAGCGAGTTGTGGATCATCGACGCACGCGAGATGAAGACGGTCGTGGCGCGCGTCAAGCTGCCCCAGCGCGTACCCTACGGCTTACACGGCACGCTCTTCACCGAAGAGCAGATCGCCCAGCAAAACCCCATCGATCCGGCCAAGATCAGGTCGTGGGCGCAATCGGTCACCCATGCTGACCCCTTCTCGGCGTCGCAGCTCGGCTCGACACTCTGCACGGCACCCGGCAAAGCAGCGTCGTCCAAGTTCTCATCGGCAAAGCACGTGTACGCCGCATTCTTGGCAGATCCACTCCACGTTGGCGCTTGGTGGATCAAGCGCAAGATCGAGCTGCTCATCGCCTGAGCCTGCGTGCTCGGTGAGGGCGCACTGTATTATACCCCTGCACAGACACATCTGGCGAATAGAAGCCAGTTGTTGCTTTGGATTGACATCGCGTTGAAAGGCGGCTGAATTGATTGCTAAGACCATGAGGCGAGGTGCGAGAACAGAACAGAACAGAGCGAAGGGTATAGAGGTGCAGCTGCAAGATGAAAACGATTAGGCAGCTTGACGGGCGGCCAAGAGAAGGAGGATGCGTTGGTCGATGTCTCGAACGCGTTGGAGGAACTCGGGTCGCATGGAGCTCTCGGAACGGGCGACGGGGCGGACGAGGCGGCGAGTGCGCTTCCTGTTCTTACGCACCACCAGACGGCCGTAGCCAAAAGTGTAGGACTTGCCGTCGATGCGGTGCTGGAAGAGGCAGTCGTCGGCAAAGGCGCAGAAGGGCTTGTTGCGGTTCCTGCTGAGCGAGAGGCTTCTGGTGAAGGCTTTGCAGGGAGTGGCGGCAGCACGCTCGCGGAAGCGCTGAACGGCCAGAGTGCGTGCGCTGCCCTGGAAGGGCTGGCCGGTCACAAAGGTGTACTTGGACTCGACGCGGCAGAGCGGACACTTCTTGCGGTTGTCCTGGTCGCCTTGACCACGCCACTCGCGCATGCACGTTGGGCAGAAGTAGTGGTCGCAGTTGGGGTGCTGAGCAAACACCTTGAGCACCTCGAAGCAAACGCTACAGGTTTGTGGGTCGGCAGTGGTCTCGGGCTGTGGGATGGGAGCCGCCGATTCGACAGTCGAGAGCGCTGTTGTCTCGGTCGGCAGCGAGTTGGAGCCGGCTACATCTTCCCAGTCCTCTGTCGTCTCGCTCGATGCAGACTCTGAAGCGGCTATGACCACCCATCCCTCGTCACGCTTGCTAGCATGCGGCTGCGCCTTCGAAGTGTTGGCACTTGGCGTGTATTCGGAAGCTTGAGCAGAGAGACGAACACTGGAAGTTGTGGGAGCAGACGGAGATGGGATTGCAGATTGCTCGGATTGGCGTGCCTGCTCGTGCGAAAAGAGGCACTTGTCACCCCTCCTGCACTTGCCAGAGCGGGAGTAGTATCGGCACGGCGTGCTCGGCTTTGCGGTCTTGGAAGCAGCGGCTCCACTGGTGCTTGGTGCTGTCTCCTGCATCTTGAACGTGCTCGAGGGATCGATGTGTGTGGTCGAACGGCAGGAAAGCGCCGCAACAGCAGTGAGGACCAAAGAGCCTCACATGAGACAATGGGTGAAAGCCAGGACCCTATGTTCGGGTGGAATGAGGGTGTGAGGTGAGGCTCAGTTATCGCTGCGGGGGAGCTGCTGCTGCTGCTGCCTCGCGCGCTCGGTTGGAAAGTGTGAGGTCGAACAATTTAAGCAGCGGCTCAGCCGCAACTCCACTTCTTTTGCTCAAATGCACAGACACAGACGCGCGCGCCAACCACGGCTCTCTCGTCGCTGTTGTGCTAAGCCGCGCGCGCTTCGTCCCGTCCCACCCTTCGCTCTCGACACCAACACCCCCATCCTCACTGTCCGCCGACCGCCTTACGATCCAACAGCATGCCTCCGCGGCCCAAAGAAAATGTGAGCATCCCATCGCCACCCTCTGCCGTGTTCGTCTGTGCGAGCTCTTGTTGATCTCTCCGTCTTCTTCCACAGGTCTGGAACTATCCAAGACCGCCCGCGCTTCAGCCCACCGCGGCTAGGCTCAGGGTCATCTGGGTCACCCCTTCCAAGCAGGAGCTCGTAATCGCAGAGACCACCCAGGGCTACCGCGTACTCGAGACCTCTCATCCGCCCACCTACTACTTTCCTCCCTCGAGCGTCAAGATGGACCTCATCAAGCCTTCCAAGACTCGCCGCACCATGTGCGAGTGGAAGGGAATGGCTGCCTACCACGACCTACAGTTCAGCAAGGACCAGGGCCCCGTCGTCAGCGGCCGCATCTGGTCCTACCCGCAGCCCACCCCCGCTTTCGCCTCGATCAAGGACTACCTCTGCTTCTACGCTTCCAGCCAGACGGATGCAGAGCGCCTCGGACACTGGAAATGCGTACGTCGATCCCATCTCCTCTTTACTCACCGCACGATCGATACTGATGCGCTTTCACATCTCCTCACTCGCAGATGGTCGACGATGACGAGGTCGTGGCGCAGGAGGGCGACTTCTGTAAGTAGCCAACCGAGCCCATCCCTATCGCCAAGTCGTAAAACTCAGCTGACCATCGTTACCTTTTGCACATTTCCAGACGGTTCTTGGATCACTCCCGAGATCACAGGCGGTGATCGAGGCTTCAAAGGAGGTAAGTTCCATCTGCTTGGCGCATCACGCCGTGAGGCGCTCTCTCCCCCCATCCACCACCCCTCGATATTGCACGCACGCACTCGCGTATGGCGCGGGCATCGCTGCCTCTCGGACCAGCAAAGGGTAAGCACAGTCTAGTGCTTTCTGTTCTTCTCCTTCTGCCTACTTCGTTTCTTCGCATCGTCCGCGCCGGGCGTTTTCCTTTTTGGTTCCGCTTCTTGTTCCGACCACCCACCGCGTTGCGCCTCGCCTGGCTAGAAGCAGTGCTGACCCACTCTCTTCCCGCCTGCAGCTCCAACGGAAGCCAGCACGAGCACGTTGGAACGCGACCCTCTGGCCGCCTACAAGGGCTTGACATTTGCAGAGACTCTGGAAGACCTCAGCAGTCGCTTCATCGTCAACCTTCCCTCGGACGAGCTTTCGAGCATAGAGCGCATCTGCTTCCAGGTCGAACAAGCCCACTGGTTCTACGAGGATTTCCTCCGACCTCTCAACTCCTCGCTTCCGTCGCTGGCGTTGCGCCGCTTCTCGTCCCATCTGCTTCACACCGCTTCCATGATCGTGCCTCTCATCCAAAGGTACATCACCGGCGGCAGCGGCCAGCAGGACCTCGAAGCAGCCTTCGACGAGTTCCTCAAATACAAGACCCGCGTCCCCGTATGCGGCGCCATCCTTCTCGCCGAAGACTGGAACAAGTGTCTCTTGGTCAAAGGCTGGAAGTCCTCAGCTGCCTGGGGCTTCCCCAAGGGCAAGATCAACCAGAACGAGCCCGAGCGCGACTGCGCCATCCGCGAGGTGCTCGAGGAGACCGGCTACGACTGCAGTGCGCTTCTGCCCGAGGACAGCCAAGACTACCTCGACCTGACCATGCGCGAACAGCGCATCCGACTCTACATTGTCCCGGGCGTCAAGGAGAACACCAAATTCGAGACCCTCACGCGCAAGGAGATCTCCAAGATCGCCTGGTTCAGGCTCAGCGATCTGCCCACGTGGAAAAAGTCGAAGGATCCGCCCGCAGGCATGGGCGGCAAGTTCTATCTCATCTCGCCCTTCATTGGCCGGCTCAAACAGTGGATCCACAACAACAAAGCATCGCATTCGGGTCACCCAGCCGGCAAGCCGGGGCATGCGCTCGATGCGGCCCCTGTCGCGATCTCGCAGACCGCGGCCCCATCAAACCAAGCATCCTCGGCCGCCGTCCCGTCGTTTGTGGACACGACCTCGCTCTTCCCCTCTTTCTCTGGAGAAGACAAGGCTGCACAGAAGCCGTCCGAGCCGCTGCCTGCCCCACCTACGAGCGATAAGCTCAAATCGCTGCTGGGCCTGTCGTCGCCCGCATCCGAGCCAGCACGTGCTGCGATGCCCGACGCCTCGAACCAGCAAGACCAAGCAAGGGTGTTTGAGCAGATGTTCCCGGGAGTCGGTGCGCACATGATCCAGGCATCGGGCGATGAACGCGGCCAGCAATTGCTCAGCCTCTTGATGAATCAACCGAATGCGGGGCCACAGGCATCTGCGGCAGGCGCGTCCCAGCACAGCCCTCACACGCAGGACCGTGCTGCATCTCTGCTGGCGGCCTTGAATGGGCCATCTTCAGCGAGCGCAAACGCTGCTCGACCAGGACCTGGCGAAGCTGCGCCGGCGAACCCGTTCCTCAGCATGCTCAACGATCCATCTCGCAGCGAGTCTCCTCTGCCCGCCCCACGTCCGCAGAAGTCTGGTCAGGCACAGAAGCTGCTGCAGATGCTGAGCGCTGGTCACGATCGAAGCCTTTCGCAGAGCAGCTTCACCTCGTTCGAGGGTAGTTCTGCTCCGCCGCACGCAGGCCCGCCGCAGCAAGACACGTCGCGCGGGCCGAGCAACCAGTCAGATGCGCTGCTGCGAATGCTGCAGCCATCCTCGCCTCCAAGCAGCTCTCAGTCGCCTCCCTCGCAGGGCGCAAGCAAGAACGATCTGCTGTCGATTCTGACGGCTGGTCTGCCCGGAGGCCCCAGGCCGAACCCGAACAATGCGCCGCAGCCTGGGCCCGGGCACGGCTACGGTCCTGCGATGGGCGGTGCGTTCCAGCCCAACCCACCATTCTCCTTCCCTCCGCCACCGCCGCACATGCTCCCAGGTATGATGCAGCAGGGAGGTGCGGGACCGCATCCATTCCACATGGGCTCCATGCCGCCCGGTCCGCCCGGCCCTGGCCAGACCCAGGGCGCTCCAACCCCGTGGGGCTTCATGCCACCCCAACCCAACTTTGCCCCTTATTCCACCGGCCCTCCCTCGTAAAGGATCTTGGCTCGCAATCGGGATACTGACTTTATCTTGCCTTCTGATCAATCAGGCGCGGGTACCTGGGGTTGGTGAAAGTCAACCTCTCGCGCTCCTGTCGACGAGCCCAGCGCTTGTATTGCTAGCTTTGGACTCCTGGAATTCACCCTCCATCTACGTTCAGCAGACGATGCAAGTCTGACCACCGTTGAAATGCTTGCCAATGGTCTGCGTGAAGAGTGCGGACAGATGCATGAGCGCTGGGCTGTGAACGGCCTTCGAGCACAGGGCAGCCGGCTCCTATGGGTGCTCTCCAAGTCAGGGTCCAGCCTCGTTGTTCGGCTCCGAGGAAGCGCCAAAAAAAAAATGGCTGGCCTGCAACCGCAGTTTTTGCCCTGCAATTTTTGTCCAATTTTGAGGTTGCCACACACACCCGCCTCAGCTCCGAGCAGGAAAAAAAATGGAGGAAGGGTTCAGTGGGTTGGAAAATTTGCCAGTGAGCCGCTGGCTGCGTGGAAATTTTTGCAGCGCCTCTTTTCCGTCAAAGTGCGAGCGCCCAGTGCCCTTCCTTCTTCTCACCTCTCCCCACCCCCCGGTCACCCCTCACAAAGCACCCCCACCGACCTGTCCATTCCGTCGCTGAGCTTCTCTCTTGCACAAGCTGAGACGGCACACAGAGTCGGCTGCATCTATCTGTCTTTGCATCTCTACTCTTCTCGTCGCTAGATTCTGGATATACCCTCCCTCATCTAACCTTCCCCTTTTCACCACCTTCTATACCCTCGGAAAGGTGCTCATTCGAGCTCAGCCTCTCCTCGACGTTCCAAGATGGCCGTCGTCAAAGGAGGTCCCTCCAAGAAGAACATCCAATCCACGGGCATCAAGCGCGTCAAGGGCGAGAACTTCTACCGTGATGCCAAGAAGGCCAAGGTCGTAAAGCTCCTCTCCAAGGACGGCATTGCCTCCAAAGCCATCCGCGATAAGAATGGCAAAATCATCCAGGCTGCCGAATTCCAGAGCAGCGAAGCTAAGCCCGGTCGTGTTCAGCCGGACAAGCGATGGTTCGGCAACACACGCGTCATCTCCCAGGATGCGCTCGACCACTTCCGCACCTCGCTCGGCTCCCGCGTCAACGACCCTTACTCGGTCTTGCTCCGCAGGAACAAGCTGCCCATGTCCCTCATTCAGGACCCGGGTCAGGGCAAGGCCCCCTCGCTCACCACTCTTGAGCCCTACTCGGACACTTTCGGACCTGGCGCCCAGCGAAAGCGCCCGCGTCTCGATGGCGGCATGAGCTCTTTCGCAGAGCTCGCCGAGAGCAGCGAGCAGGCCGGTCGTGCTGCCGACGAGAAGCAGGCAGCACTCGAGGCCAAGGCTGCCGGCGTCGGCCTCGTTCCCTCGGATTACGAGGTCGGCTCCAGCGCTCAGCGCTCCGCCAACGGCTTCACCGTCGATGCCGACGAGCTCTACGAGATCCCCGTCACGCGCGGCCGTTCCGAGCCAATCTACAGCAAGGGTCAGTCTCGCCGTATCTGGGGTGAGCTCTACAAGGTCATCGACTCGTCCGATGTCATCATCCACGTCCTCGATGCCCGTGACCCGCTCGGCACCCGCTGCCGCAGCGTCGAAAAGCACATTCGCGATGACAAGCCGCACAAGCATCTCGTCTTCCTCCTCAACAAGGTCGATCTCGTCCCGACTTGGGTCACTGTAAGTCTTTCTCTTGCCCTTTCATTTTCCCTCCCTCCCTCTCACACCCCGCCGCCTCAAGAAACCCCACAATCATGTCAAGTAATGCGCCGTCGTCCTCCTTACCGAGGCGACGTCAGTGGCGCAAGGACTGTTACGAATGTGGAAGAAGAACGGCGTCGATATGATCTCCCCCTCATAGCTACATCCCTTGCTCGACTCCCTCGAGAAGGGCTTGGGATGTGCCCACTCCCAGACCTTCTTCCGCCGATAAAGGCTGGGTAGACCGGGAGGGCCTGGAGCGTCGGCGTCGGGATTCCTATATGAGTTGAGTTTACGGCGCTTCTTCGCCACGCCGTGCTCGTAGTCATGGAACCAACATCCCTTTCGCACTCATCGCATCGCTTACAAAGGCTTTCTCACAATGAGACAACGTCGATTACTGACTGTCTTTTTATATCGATCGCCTCTGCATCGATTGCTTTGCTTTGCCCGCTAATAGGCTCGATGGGTCAAGATACTCTCCAAGGAGTACCCGACGATCGCTTTCCACGCCTCGATCAACAACTCGTTCGGTAAGGGCTCGCTCATCCAGCTGCTGCGCCAATTCAGCGTGCTGCACTCGGACAAGAAGCAGATCAGCGTCGGTTTCGTCGGCTACCCGAACACGGGCAAGAGCTCCATCATCAACACGCTCAAGAAGAAGAAGGTGTGCAACGTCGCACCCATCCCCGGAGAGACCAAGGTGTGGCAGTACATCACGCTCATGCGCCGCATCTACCTCATCGACTGCCCCGGTATCGTGCCCGTTTCCGCGCACGACTCCGAGACGGGCACGGTGCTCAAGGGTGTGGTGCGCGTCGAGAACCTCGAGACGCCTGCCGAGCACATCCCGGCGCTCCTCTCGCGAGTCAAGCCCGAGTACATCCGCCGCACCTACAACCTCGAGAAGTGGACCAACTCCGAGGACTTCCTGGGTCAGATCGCCAAGCGCATGGGCAAGCTGCTCAAGGGTGGCGAGCCCGACCTCGAGACCGTGGCCAAGATGGTGCTCAACGACTGGATCCGCGGCAAGATCCCGTTCTTCGTCGCGCCGGCCGAGGACGCCGCCAGGGCTGCCAAGGGCAAGGCCAAGGCTTCTGCCGAAGAGGTGGAGGCAGCGACGGCTGCTGCCTCGGCCGACAGTGCCCAGGACGACGAGCAGGACGCAGCGATTGACAAGCTGCTCAAGAAGAAGAAGGTCAAGGGTGTCGAGCAGCCGCTCAAGCAGATCGCTGTGGCCACCAAGTTCACGCGCGAGGACATCGAGGCCGGTCGCCCCGAGGACTACGTCATGGAACGCGACGAGGACGAGCCCGTGCCCGAGCTTGCTGTGGATGAAGATGCCACCTTTGACAGCGACAACGAGGGCGCCGAGGACGATGACGACGACGAAGACTCCGAGGAGGAGGACGGCGATGCGCTCGAAGACCTCAACTGGGACGACGTTTTCCAAGGCGGCTCCGGCGATGAGGAGGAGCAGGACGACGAGGAGGCAGGCGACGTTACAGCAAAGTCGTCGCCAGGCAAGCGAGCCAGCGCTGCCCAGGACGACGAGGAGAGCGACGAGGCCGACAGCAAGCATCGCAAGACCAAGAAGGAGCCACGCATGAAGACGAGCAAGCGCAAGGCCGAGAACTACTACACCCACGCCAACGTCAAGAACAAGAGCAGGCGTGGCAAGCCGGACGCTGCCGAGCCCAAGTCCAAGGAGCGCGGACCCAAGGTCGGCGCCAACGGCAAGGGCGCCAAGCAGCAGCGCCGCAAGTAGGCCCATTCTTTCTTGCTCTCTTTGTCATCGATCGTCTCGCCGTCTCCTTTGCATCTCGCATCTCGCTGTAGCCACTGTGCATCCTACGCATGCCCATGTATTTGTATCCG